TGAGGCTGAGACTTATCTTACCCATGAATCGTTCTTGTATTAGGTACCTATACACCAAAAATACAGGTTAAAACTCTGTTCACAAAGTTTAGGTGGTTTGAGGGGGGGGATTCCTCCACCACTATTTTTTGTGCTTAATGTATGTTACTTTATCACTACAGTATTTCAAAGGTTACAGTCAAGTGGAGGGGAAAGGTTTCTTCCCCTAAAGCCGCCTAAACTTTACGAACTGAGTATATTAGAAATCATAAGTAGTTCTAAAAATTTTGTATTTTGTAAATACATAGCAAGAATTTTACAAAATATCTATACTTTCTAATAGAACTAGTACCAACCTGGTTTTCTAGCTCTAGGAAGAGGTAATCAGCTTATTGTTCCTGGAAATAGTGGAAACAGAACAAAAATTGCATATCACAAATAATTCTTAAAGACTTAAGTACCTAAAATATTTTAATTTGAGATAAAGATAAGTTTTTCTAAGCTAAATTTTTTAGCTACACGTTCCATTTTCAAATAACCTAAAATCTACACTTACCTAGTTACTCAAAGACTTGCCTATTAATATAATAATTTTTTCCTATATACATATTAAATTTTACGTATACAGTAGAGTCCCGCAAACTCGGCGTAATGTGGACTGGAAGGGTGCCGAGTTTCTGAAATGCCCGGTTATCGGGAACTAGGGTTAAAAATAAGAACAATACAATTTTTAAGCTAATTAACTACCTCTTTTATTTATATTTATATTACAAGTCAGTATGAAGTCATCAGATATAGTACAACAAATCATTTGTACGAGCTGAGAATGATTTGACTTGAGCTGGCTTGAGTCCATGTTTAACTCGGACTCAAAAAATCACTAATTTTCTGAGCCAGGTGATGGCCGAGTTATCCAGACTGCCGGGTTATCGAGTGCCGAGTTTGCGGGACTCTACTGTAATTACAAAAAAAGAAACAGTACACATAAAACCATAAAACTAAACACAAGTTGGAATGTTTGAGTGGTCTTTTTTTGTCTCACTTTCACAATCTAGGACACTAGTTCTAGCCCGGAACTGTTTTACACATTACTTCAGGCCAGTCCTAGATGGTTGCGGCACTATCACAAAGGTAAAGTCCATTTGGGATTGATGGTATTTGAACCAGGGATTGACAACCTGAAGCCCTGCGCTCTACCACTAGACCAGCTCATTCCCCAATGAGTGCTGATGTTTGAGTGGTAGTCTCTGTGAGTGTGTTGTTTTCCCCAGACTGTCATGGAGGCTTTAAATTCAACATTTTCTGTGGGAGGACACCCAGACTTGTATGACACCAATAGGGGACGGCCCATAGAACCGCATAAGGACTACGATGTACATATCAACCATTATTAATTATTACATATCAAATTATGTTCATAATTCATTGTTTACTTTCTTGAGTTGTTTTTTTAAATACCTACAATTGAAGCAAAGAACCTTCTTTTTCTTAAGATGGAATAACAGTTTTTTTCCTTAATAAATATCCACGGACCTCAATGTAGGCTATGGGATTTCTTACCCTGTAATTCTATTGGCTATGTGAAGGACAGTATACATTTCACCATTAGCTCAAACCCTGTCAAAGCTCCAAGAAGGTAATGTTGCAGTTATGACAGTAAACCAGAATATGCTTACCAATGCTTGGGCAGAGTTCCAACATAGACTGGAAACATGTTTCGCTGCAAACCGGGAGCACTTTGAGCAACTTTAGTTATATGAAACAAAACTTGAGAGCTTTCTGTTTCGATCCATGCAATTTATAGTAGCGTTCATGTATGTGAAGCAGGAGATCAGAATTTGTTTACAAGTGCAACCCTGCCAATCCCTATATACAAGCAAATAACTATGTCACAATCATGCGATTGCAGATAAGTATGCTACTTTATTATTCAAATTCATGCTTTTGGCGGATTATGAAAAGTATTAGCAGTTGAAGTTTAATGCATGATTTTGAGTTTTAATCAAAATCATAATCTCTTCTTTGTCTTCCTGCCACAAAGCAATTGGCATTGTCCAAAATATAACAATTTCATAAACATGTCACTTTATCGTTAAAACAAACAAATATTTAACAAAGGGATGCAATAAATTTGTAGAAGCTTAAAACCTAGATCTTACATATTATTTAAACACTTATAGCTAAAACCTCCAAGGACAAGAACTTATCTAGAGAGTAAGAAGATTTTGATTTAAGCCATGAATCTAGGATGTTTAAATTTTTTTTATAGAAATTGTTGCTGCGGAAGGTGGTAATTTATTAAAAAATTGTATACTAAGATATTTGTAGCTATTGTTTGTAAGTACAAGTATTGTAAGTTGATGTGATAGCTATTTCTTGTGTAATTTTTAAAAATAAAACCTTTTACTGAAGATTTGATAAAATGCCACTTATGTGTGCTTGGTGAAAAAAATCGTATATACTGTGTCGCCCTGCAACTGTTTACGGACTTTAGTGTTATCAGAACCACGATAAAACACTGCAAGGATTTATGTTACTTACCGATACATTTTACTTTTCAATAAAGTTATGGAAAAACTTACCGTGCTTTTAGGAGATTAGGTTCAAGCAAGAAAAAAAGAGATACAGCGGAAATAGTATTCTGGCCAAAAACATGTAGGTGGTTTTAATACTTAATTATCAAATGGCCACCATACAAAGTAGGTATTTTAAGCCAAGTATGAATGGAGATGAGTGTAGGATGAGTGGCGCGATCTTGTAGTCTTGTTAGTGACAAATGCCGACATTCCTTAGACACAGCTGTTAATTAATAGCCCATACAGCTAATGGCAACTAAGGAACCTACAGTTTATTGTGGAATCCGATCCACATTTTTGCCTTGGTCTTATTTCGAATTGGTCTACTTATCAGGAAAGTACTGCGGATAGCCGTAGTACTCACTCGTGCGGACGTTAATCCACACTAGTGAGTATCGCATCCACAGTGCATGCCTATAAATATCCACAATTCGTTACCTCCTAGTAACCTCCTAGTAGATTACAGGACGACGCCACCCGTCCCAGTTTCAGAGTGAGTTGAAGCTCCTCTTGGTGGAAGGACAATTAAGTAGTAAATGAAGAAGCTCTCCCTTAGTTTAACTTCAATAACCACTAACTTTACATTGATCTAAACCACAAAAAACTATTTATTTCTAAAATGTAGCTTTCTTCTGAGGCAGAGAAAACATTTAATTTGCCATGAATTAGGCACACCCGGCATTAAATATCATTTAAACAGACTTCAGATTATAAAATAGAATTTGAAATCGACTTGCAGTTTACAAAGTCAAGAGTGTTATATCAGGTCAGAACTAAAGGCTGGATTACACTGGGAGAGTATAGTATCATTGACTATTGGATCCTGAAGTGGACATTGTATCTATATGGACCAGCTGTTGCCAATTTTTACTAAAAAAGAACATAGCTATGTGAGCCAGTCACAGAATGTGCTAGTGTCTATAGTCTATTTTCTACCTTACATGCTGACCAAGTTGGTAAGTCAATCGCTATAGTTAAGTCATTCTATAAGTTGAGTTGATGAAAAAGTTCTTGTATTCAACAAAAATTAGTACTTTAGATCAGCACAATCTGCTGGTGGCTCAAACTACGGCGACTGATCCAAAAACTGGCAATGACTTTAACATGGGAATTGAATGTCTAGTTGTATCAATAGTCAAAACTAATAGTTAGAGACAAAAAAATCAGGCTTGTTGGTGAGTATGAAGTAGCCTGCTATAACCTACTTCCTCTGACAATATCAAGACTAATCCTAATTTTCCCTTGTACACAAGCATCTGTGAGTAGACTTAAATGATGTTACGATCTATTTTGCTCAAAATCCGTTGAGTGGCATGTGAAGTTGCTAGCAGAGTAAACTTTTTCCAGAGCTTTTTGTAATAGCAGCTCATTGAGGCAGTACACTTGGTTAGTTTATGAGCTACGTTTAATAACAGGATAAATAAATAAAGGGATTTAATTATATTCAAAAAAGGTGTTTAAAAAAAGTATTTAAAAAGGTGTCATCGGTGAGACTCGATCTGGTTACCTCTTGGACATCAGCCAAATACTTTATCCACTACACCATGAACACTGATACCGATGGCTGCACTTCGTATCGTTGCGGTAACAGTGTTCCCTCAAGAGAAGATAGTGACATCACACCCCCGCTCCTTCGCAAAAGGGGTTTTAATCGGGTTTTACCAGGAACCCGAGACGCTTGTCCATATTGGACATCTCTACAATAAAACTCATCACTCAGTACACCCCTGCACTAGTAAAAATACAGGGTCTGCACTAAAGATTGGAATAATTTATTTCCCAAGCCATTCATTGTTATTTTTTTATGTACAATGTTCTATGTGTGTTGGTTGGATCGGTCACATGATAAAGTTAATTTTTACTCATAATTGGTGCCAGTTTTGTTCAGCTGAATAAATATTGAGACCTAAAATTGATATTTTTTACTATCAGATATGTGATTGGTCAACATATTGGCTTTCTTGTTTTTCCCCATCAAACTGTGCGATTTCTTCTTATGTGGTAATAAAGTACATTGTTTACCAGGTGATTTTTCCTCCGGGATAACTCGTTATAAAATAGAAGTAGAGGACTTTTAAATAAAATATTGATCTCTAATTATAAGGTATTTATGATTGTTAACCGGGGCAACTCGATCACCCACATAATTTTTTTATTTATTCCCAAATTACTTTGAAAATCTATAGGGTAGTTATAACTTATCATTGGAATAAAAATGTTTGAATATTTTTAATGTATTTGAATTTAATACTATGTAATATTAATGTAAAATTTAAAAAATGCATTCTTTATGTTTTAACAATCTAGAAGATTGTGGAAATTATTTGTTAACATAAATTGATATGTAAAGTACGGTAATTTATTGTGTTTGTTTGGATCAGTCGAAACTCTGTTCCAGCACCAAATTACCACCAGTAGAATACTTACTGATTTGTTTGTTTGTAGGTCAGATCCGTTCAACGACAAAAACCAATGTCTATCTTAATGTCAACATCAACTGAAGAAGCTCAGACAAAGAATCAGAAGGAACCAATTCGACGATCTTCAAGAACCAGCACAAGGGATCAGCAAATAGGATTTGCTGGGAACCAAAAAGTCTTATCAGACTTATCACTACAAGGTAGTAAAGCTGATGGTAAACCTACGAAGGAGAATAAGGAAGAGACGGATCAAGGTTTCGTGTTGATTCCACATCAGTTGGGATTCGACGCTGGATTGTTAGTTCCATTTACGGATGATCCTAATAGCCCAGCATCAAAAAATGATGCCAATTTGGTTGGCAAGAAGAACAGAGGTCCCCGAAACCTTGAAGACAAACCTGTAAAAGAGCCTATAAGCACAAAATCCTTGAAATCTTCATCCCCTCCCCAATCATCCAATGCAGAAGTAGAAGCCGAAGAAGAATGTTTTTGCCCAGTGTGCAATATAGATTTTGGCTTCCCAGACATCCTGGATGAACATAAGAAAGGAAAGGAATTCATCTGCAGATCTTGTACCACTATATTCAACAACCATGAAGAACTCGAAGCTCATTTTGTCAGCCATCGTAAGTTCATTTGTAAGGTGTGCAAAAAGGTTTTTCACGTCAAGTCGGACCTTATAAGGCACAAGGGCACAGTGCAGGGTTGTAAAAGGCCAGAAATGCTGAAATGTAAATATTGCCATAACAGATTCGTGCATGAAAGCAACCTTGAATCCCATATGAAAACTAAACACCCTAACGCAGAGTCCCGTCCTTTTGCCTGTAATATTTGTAACAGTAGTTTTAAGATTCGTGGCACCTTCAGAGATCATTTAAAAGCATGTCACACGGTTTATGAGAGTATGGAATGTGACATTTGTCACAAGATTTTACCAGGGCCTTCTAGTTTGAAAACACACGTAAAAAGTACACATATTCAATCTGTGTCTGAAGTTTGCGAGATATGCAACAAAGTCATGGCGAGCAAGACGGCTTTCAAATTGCACATGGAGACTCACAACGGGGAGGAAAAGGTTTGCTACATCTGCGGAGCCGTGATCAAGGGGAAAACGACGTTCAAGCAGCACATTTATTACCACGAAAACCGACGACACTCGTGTAGCTTTTGCAACATAGTGTTCAACACGTTGTTGGAGAAAAACCGACACTACAGGGAGAAGCATGTTGCGCCAAAACCTGCGATTTGTGAAATATGCGGGAAAGAATTCAAGGCGAGGGAGATATTGAAGAATCATATGATGACACATTCTGATGAGAAACCTTACGTTTGTAGTCTTTGTGGCGCCGCTTTCAAAAGCAAAACAGTTCTCAAAACTCACAGTAGAGTGCACAGTGATTTGAGGAAATACTCTTGTAAAAATTGTGGAGAGGCATTCAGGTGGAAACAGACTTTTGACAAACATATTGTGAAGTGCGGGTCCTCGCAGAATGAGGCTGGAACACGAATCAATTGAAACAATTATATGTTTGAGAACAATTAATATGATTATTTTAAAAACTACACATATATTTTTACTATGTTATATTGTAACACATATGTATTAACCTTGGATACTGCAAGTAGAATCTTGTTTTGATAGAGATTCAAGTTCGGTTATGTTGAGTGTACTGATGTTGACTAAAGGTTTTTTTTCTAAAGGCCAAATTTTACAATCTGCTCTTTAATCTTTGGTTTTATTTGCAGTAAACAAGTAAGGTATAAATGTTACACAAAAAACTGGTCAAAATATAACATCACCAGAATCTTGCTTTATTATTTGAAATTGATTTATAATTAACTTCTTATTTGTTCAAACAACTAAATTTATGAGTGTCTCATGAACAAGTTAAGACTACTGAATTCTATTCATTGATCATCATTTTGACTAATCCATTTTGTATCTTAAACATTTAAAAAGAAAAGTGCCCTTCAACAAAGCTTATTGTATCCTATTATGATTTTAAAAAATGTTTATGTATTTTTAGTTTATGCCTAAGAAATGTAGTTTAAGCTATTGTAAAAGAGTATTATAGTTTTAAGTTAAGTTATAAAATTACCAAGAAAGTTTATGGGTAAGGCATTGAATTATATTTTTTCTAAAACCTTTTGTACAATGGAAAGGATGTTTGAACTGTTTTAATAATTTATAATTTATAATTATAATTCTTTCTATCCTTAGTATTTTAGCTTTGCTACTTCTTTAACTGAAGGTTAAATGACTATTAACAACTATACAATATCATTGCGTTTCTGTTTTATCATCTCAATATTATCTCAGATGTTATTCCATGGTAGAAGGAAAAAACATAGGTGTGCTATTCCCGTCATATGCTGACGTCACCCAGATTTCAAACACCATTTCACAATTTAGAAAAAAATATAAAAACAATAACAATCAAATCAAAACAATTACTTAAGGCAATACAATCAAGTGATTTTTGTATGCAATCTGGGTGACGTCAGCATATTACGGGAATAGCACACCTATGTTTTTTCCTTCCACCATGATTCCAGACAAAGAGAACATAAACATGTAAAAAGAAGTTTTATTGATATTTTTTCTAATTATTGTTTATTGACCTCATGTGAGTAATAAGTTTTCTTAACTTTGTGTTTACTCGCCTGTTACTTTATTGCCCTGTTGCTAACACCTACAACGTAAACATGGTCTTACAAAAAAGAACCTCGTGGCATTGTTGGATTTTTTATCGAATTGAAATTAACTGTGAAATATTCAAAAAGATCCAAACCATGCTCTGGACGAACTGAAACTTCATTTATTGTTTCTTTAAGTATTTAAAAAATCTGTTTGAAAATCGGTAAATTAGTCTTTTTTAAATGTGATTCTAGCTTCTTATTAATTGTTAAACATTAATTCATCCCCATCCATTGCAAGCTTTACCTTTGAATTTGATTAACATCATCATCCTTGTTATGAATAAAATTTGTCCAACATCGCATATCTCTCCCATGTAATTTCTTAACTCCAAGTTCAGTTTGTATTAAGTGTATGGTTTTTATTCAATTCATTTTACTTAGCAATTTAAATTGTATATTTTTATGGATATTATTGATTATCTGTTATTTCTGAATACTTTTTCTACCAATAATGTGAAACTAAAAATGTTATAAATCTATTAATTTTGATACTGGGATTACAAAGCTATGTGTGATTATATTCAACACTTAAATTCAATTTTGAAACACAATGATCTGATTGTTTATTCAAAATTCTACTTAACTACATTTTAAATATTTTTATAGCTCTTAAGCAACTTAAAACTAATTTGAAATTTTAAAGTAAAATTAATCAGTTTTTAATTTGTATATTTTGAAAGTTCCAAGCATATTGTGTCACCCAATCATGGGAGAAGTTGTATATATATAAAAATGTTAAATTTATATTTTTACAAACAACCTTCAAATGTTTATAGTTATAAGTCAATGGTTATAGTTAAGATTTTACATCACATGTTTGAGCTCAAATTAATGTATTCTGTAAATAAAAATTATATACTTACATATTTTTTTTCATTTATACACTTTATAGCTTTAATCAAATAAACTACATTACATAAATTTATTCATGTAGTTTCTTTCTACGTCTCTTACTCCAATCTGCAGCCTACTCATACAGTTCTTAATTTGTTTAACAAAATGATAGTGCTGTATAAAAATTGCAATAATTAAAAACAGTTAAATAATTTTAGTTAAGTATCTGAATTGCCTTTTCAACTGTTTTTTTTTATTTTGTACAAGCAAAGTAACTTGGATATACACATTTTATTCTGGTTGGATGATAACAACATAAGTAAGTCTACCTAGCCCATGTGTCTAAATCAAATACAAAATAGCTTTATTCCCTATATGGGATTATTGCTAAAACAGCTGATTAAGTTGTAGAAATGTTTACTTCATTACAGCTGTTTTTGAACATGGTTAGAAAAGGCAAACCATCCATAGCAGGGTGTTGTGTAAAAATGAATACAATCAAAATTATTTGATTCGTGATAAACCTCAGTAAAATGAACGGATCGCCAACTTAACACAAATTTTCTTTCATTAGCTTTGTCAACAACCCTTATAATGGGTAAGTGGTGGGAGTAACTATAATATTTCATGGGTAAAACCATAAAAAAACGTTTGAACTGTAATGTAGCATTGGAGGTTGTACCACATTTTTTAAAGTTAAAAGGACATTAATATACTAAATTTTGATTAAAATCATTGCAGGTGTATTGTGAAAACCTCAATTTTCTGTTATTTAATGGGGTTTTTATAGGATAACCACCATTAAAAATCTATATTAAAAAAATGGAAAACAGGAGATACTATAGATTAGTACACACATAAAAAAATTCATCGAACTTGGACACATTCATCACTTGCAAAACATTTTTGGGTTCAGGGGCAGGGGGGGCCAAAATGGTTACTGTATTTCAACGAGAAATTTTGATCAACTTATGAACTTTGAAAGCTAATGGGGCAATGTTCTGGGAGAGTATTTTGTTCTAAGGCCAAGCCTAGGTCCATCTAAGTAATTTTTCATTTCTTATCAAACCATAAGTAAATACTTTATAATAACTTGTGTATGAACACAAAGGCCATTTAGAAAATCCAATACACTTATAATATTAAGACCGACTTGAATTATACTGTTACATTGTTACTTTGGTCTAGCACTATGAATTTGTGGTACATAACATTGAAAAATTAATTGATTAAAGAGATCTATTTACTTAAGAAAGTATAAAATGTCATTAACAATCACGATTTAATATTGTTTGAGCAGAATGGTTATATTTCTCAATGGACTAATGGATTTGGAAGGTTCTCGCCTTCAGATCTAAAGGCTGCTAGTTTGACCAGAGGGGTATTAATTATTACCCAGATGCTCCTCGTTATTGGCGTGTGAATGATGATATCTAACTAAAGCTCTATTTGAGACATTCACAAGAACACAGCTTCGGCTAAGTCAAAATTTAAAAGTTCGGCTTTTAAAAGTTCCTTTGGTGTAAAACAAACAAACAACCAAAATGTTGAAAAATGTTTGTAACATAAAGATGATGCTGTAAGAATAAATTATCCAGTCTTTAGTCAATGACACAATGCAATAGGGAAAATGTTTAGTGAGGATTGATTTTTAAGATAAAAATAAAATACAGCGGTCTTTTTATATTATACACTTAAGAAGGTTTATCATTCCATTGATGTAATCCATCAATTTTGGGAATGAACATTTAGTACACCAAAGTGAAAGTAAGTTATTAATAACTGTATAATTGTAAATTAAACTTTTAAATTTTTCTTTCCCCCACCATTAGAAGGAGATTTGTATATTTTTCTCTCTACATTCTTAACAAGAGTTCCTGCTCGAGCTTGTAGCAAAAGCTGAGAGGTTACTTTAACTTTAGTAAATGATTAGTAATGATTGCAACTAAACCGATGTTTTTTGTTTGTAGGTTATCTCAAGGAAAGCTTCAAGTACAAACCCTTATTTACCCGAAGGCAGTTCTAGTCAGACTGAGGGACAAGGCTGGTTCCACATCAGTCAAGCATTGCCTCTCACCGATTTGCCATTTACTCCTGTTTTCACTTTCGAAACATTATCGTCTGTCCATTCAGAGGAAATAATCTCACCAATTGAAAAAACTTCAGAAGCAATAAATTGTCAAAAACCATCTAATATCGCTCATACCAGAGATGCTAGATTAAACCTGAATGTCAAAGTTCACTCAAGTCATGAAGGGGGTTCTGCTTGCAAGATGGATCCAAATTTCGTTCTAAGTAGTAACAGAAAAATTCAAACACGTAGTTCAGTCAACAAAAAGAATAAAGGCTCCAAAACAAAACCTGTAGTTTCTGAAGCTGAAAACGAACTAAGAACGGAAGATGAAAATACCGCTCCCTCTGATGAATCAAAAAAGTTTAGTGATGCTAAAGCACTAGATGACCCTGACAGAATGGAAACTGAATCAGAAGTTTTGAGTGGACCATCAGATGTGAAGAAACCCGCAAATAAATCATTCTGTTCAGTCTGCTATGTCGACTGTGGGAGTGTTGAACTCTTGCAAGAACACAAAGATAGAATAGGATTCATCTGTCGGCGATGTACTTCAAAGTTCGATACTCATTCTGACCTCGAGATTCACTTCTTCAATCATTCGCAGTACACATGCGAAACCTGCAATGAGGTATTTTATTTTAAGAAAGATCTTTACCGCCACAGGGACTCTGATAAGTGTCTCGTCCAGTTGAAATATTATGATTGTGAAATTTGTAGCAGAAGATTCCGGAAGAACTCGGTGTTGAAGATGCATATGTGGACTCATAAGAACATTGAAAAAAAAGAAGTGTGCATTGTATGTCGAAGAACTTTTAAAAGCTCTCAGTTGCTATTGCCGCACCTGAGTAAATGTCACGTTGCCTATGAGTACATGGAGTGCAGCACTTGCCACAGATTATTTCTTGGACCTATGAAATTGCGACGTCACATCCAAAAGATTCATATTGAGCCATCAGAGGAGGATAAAATGGCATGTCCGACGTGCGGTAAAATATTCTCAAACAAATCTTACATGAGCCGTCACATTCTAGATAAACACGATGACACTGAGTACGTTTGCACGGTTTGTGGTGAGTCTGTTAAAGGGAAAATAGCGATGGAACGACACACAAGAAACAAACATGCCAAACAACCGTTCACGTGCACCAGGTGCGACCAGCAATTTGAAACCGCATCAAAACTGCTAAATCACAAGAGAAAGCACTTGAAGGAGGAACAGCCACCTGAGGTTGCGTTCTGTGAGATTTGCGGGAAAACATACAAGAGTAGAGAAATTTATAAGAGACATCTTCGAAACCACTCGGATGAAAAACCCTTCAAGTGTGATGTTTGTGGCGCGGCTTTCAAGCAGAGGGTAACCCTAAAAACCCACAGTAGAGTCCACAACAGTGTTGGCAAGTACATTTGTAACAGATGTGGGTTGTCCTTCAATTGGAAACAGACTTTTGACAAACATGTTAACATTTGTGAAAGTAAAAGTGATAATACCGTAGATTCTTCATAATTGTGTGAAAAGTTCTTGTAGTTGCTAACTTTTTTCTATCAAAGGGTAAGTTTATTTTCAAACCTGTTTTTTTTACACCTAATGGTCAATATTCATTATTGTAAATAACTATTTACCTCTTTGTAGTTTGATGTTGATTATTCTAATAGTGATATAGATTCTAAATTCTAAATTACATATAAAGTTCCAACATTTTGGCTTAAAACACCTAACTTGTAAGATTACCATTTCAATTAAAAGTATGTAAGTATTGAAAAGACTTTTAGTCTCATTATTTGATTTTGTTTTTCATCATTGCTTGCAGGACTGATTTATGACATGTAATACATAGGTTTAAGTAGCTTCAATTCCATTCCAGTCTTAGGCAACTAGTTCTGAAAGATAATAGTTTCTTATACAACTATTTGAAGGCATTATTGACAACAGTGTTGAGAATACAAGGCTTGAAAATGAAACTACAATTTTTTGAAACTAGTTACCCTAGGACTGTTATAGAATTGACCATGTATAATTACTTAATGTAGAATTGTCCATAAATAACCAGTTGTGCTTGTAATGGATGAAAACACAAATTTACTCTAAGAGTTTTAAAATATTACTTTTCTTCATACTGTAGGGAATATAGCAGTTTTTAGATCTCTAAATCGTCCAAAAAATATTTTTTGGATTACTGTTGTAAAAAAAAATTGTTTTCGGATTACTGTAAATAGGGTAAGCATTTAATTAAGAAAAAACATATGGATAATTTTTAGGTTCGATAACTTCAAATTTTTTCTAGTACATTATGGAATCCCTGCTAGTCACACAATATTTTAAATTACATTTTTAAAGAACTGAAATGTAAACATTCATGACGTTTTGACGACTTTGTATAACCTAAAATTATGTGGTGTAATTTTGTAAGGATTGGAAGGTTATTTCCACAGGATGATGAAAATAGTTGATAACACGGAGGGAAAGATGAAATTTTACTACTATTTTACATTTTGAGCTGACAGTAGGATGTATAAGGCGGTCTTGCTGCTACCATTCTTGTTCTAAAAATTTATTTTAGCCAGTTCTTCTATAAAGTCAATTTTAATTCTTTATACCGTTTGGCACAACGTAGTTGTTTTGGTTTTGATTTTCCAGTAGGTTTTACTTCACCCAGTTAAATAAGTGATATTACAAACATTGAAGATCAGTGAGTCCAAGCTGATGATTCTTGTTCTGAAGAGCCCAACCATTTAAAGTACTAATTTCAAATGGTGCTAGAAATGTAAACTTTTCTTATCTATTCACCGAAATGAAATCAGTACCCATTTTGGTTTCCTAGGTGTCTTCAATGTCTGCTGTCTTCTCTTTTCTTCCACGTTTCACTGATTAGTGCTAGGTTATTTCCTATATTAAGCGTTTAACAATAAATAATATAAAGTAGTTTTCCATACATACTATCCATCTTAGTTGCTTTCAAGATAAAACTAATGGTAACACCAACACCTTCTAAATCAACATCTTTTAACATTACAAATTCAAATTATCATCTTTATAAAAGACCTATAGACATCACATAGCTGAGTAAAATATCCAAAGGAATCTTGCTATTACTTTGATTGGAAATGGTCCCCATTTCATTATAAAGTATAAAGAAAGAATTTTAATTAAGAATAACCTCAAGAACAAGGCCATCAAGAGCCTTGATAACAAAAGTTTCATTTTCAAGTACTCTTTATTTCTTATCACCCCTAATCACTTGTTATTGTAAACTATGTATGTTTATGACATTATTTTAAGGTAATGATAATCTTCATTAGAGCTTTGCCATTGAGGTTCTACTCTTGTATACAATTTGTTTTTGAATTTAGTTTGATCTTTTACATAAGTGGTTATAAGCGGTCTCTTTTGAGATATATACACAAATTACTGTAGAATATAGTATTTGAGCTGAAAACTAATTATTTTTTAAACACAATTGCAGTACTAAATAAAATAACGACTTTTTTTATTTACCAACATTTGCATGACAAAATACTACAAAATCATTTTATGAAAATTTAATTTATAGAACTTCCAAGAATGAAGATCTTATCATTTGTAGGAGACTAAAATCTTATTTTTTTACAAAATACTCTAAACCATACAAAATAAAGCAAGAATTAGTAACCAGTAAAATATCAGAAAATTATACTTTGAGGATATAAACTAAAATCTAATCTCACTAAAATCTTAAACCACACAAAAACATAAACCATCTTTAAACTATGGAACAAAGAAACAATCTTCTATCAACTGATATGTTCTAGAACTAAGAAATAAATGTACAATATTGAATTTGGAGAAAATTGCCTTGATACCACAAAACAAAAATGCTTAAAATCTTATCTCTGAAAAAAATCCCAACCCTAAAAAACTATGTTGTAATAAAAAATTTTCAAATTACTAAACAGTAGTGAAATGCCCAAAATCTCAACTCCAAAAAATTATTTTTACTCAAAACAAAAAATGTCTGAAAGACTACCCAAAAAGAAAAATACTCAAAATCTTAACCCATAAAATGTTTTTGAACTCAAAACCATAAAATGAGTGTCTAAGCCCCACTGACCTGTATGGAGAAGAAGCTGGATGTCAAGTAATGCTTTGTGGACAAACGTAGCTCTTAAGTAGCGGTTGTCACGGGTCACGATAAGGTGTTGTATGGTCCAGCGACTCAGCTTCAAGTAACATTACACCCCTTGGTGCCCAGCCACCCCTGCAAAGGGTACAGGTTACAATGGGTAACAATACAAGGTTTGTAAACACTAAACAAGCGTTGCCTTTGAGTTATGGTGGAGATTATGCACAATAGCTATGGTTGAGGTGTGGATTTAGAGCCCCTTCCTTGGATAGGAAAGATTACAATAGGGTAGAACGAGGCAATATGTGGTCTACATACAAGAATGAAAATATATGGCATCAGCAATCTGACATATACTTTCTCCCATTAGCTTTTAAAAACCCCCTTATAATGGGTAAGCGGTGAAGTAACTTGGGGAAAATCACCAAAGTGTGAATTTACTTTTGAACCGTAATTTTTACAGCATTGGAGGCTGTAATATTTGGTTGGAGTTAAAAGGGGCATAACATACTTAAATGTTAATCAAAATTGAGCTGTATTTTGAAAATTGCCAGAAAAATCCAAATTTCAAAAAAATAAACATCTGGAGATAGGATCTTGTAATTTTTGTTACCTAAATAAAAGATTCAATCAAAATCGGACCACAGGTGTGGTCTGTACTCTGTAGCTCTGTAAACATCCACCACACACCGACCACGGCCACCTAATTGGCAACATCGCAAGTATAGTCCAGTAAATAAAGACAGAAATAGGGGGGTTAACTTACAAACGGTCCGGTAAGTCTAAATTTTTTATATGTTGTCTAGGATGGTAAGTAGGTGTTAAAACCGCAAAATGCACAATTCTACCCCCTCCGCGCCCGCCGCCATATTGAAAAATCGAAAAATCGGTACTTTCTAGAGATTTTCGCCTATATCTCCGTTGTGGTGCGTTTTAGCGAAAAATATGTAATTGCAATGTTGTAGACAATTACATTTCCTATAATATAAGTATAACAATTTAGTTCTAAGACTTATGGATACGAAAATATTCAAATTATTTTACAATAAAACGTATTTTTTTGTTATTTTGCCAAATCTCTTTCTTTAGATCGCTGTAATTCAGTAATGAAATATTCTAGGATAACAAGTATCCCAATCACATGTATAGAACATTTAATTACCTACAAAATGCTTCTATTCTTTAGGCCAACCGTTTGATGTGGGGCTGAAAAACAAACAAAACAAATTAAAAGAATGGGTCTATTTTTTTTCGCTTTTGTGACCTAAAAATTAACAAATTAACTTTCAGTTTTCGGTTTAATTTTCAGTTAATGATACCATACCTACTGTACTTACTACATGTAACAGTGCAATGCTCATGATGCAGGTACTATATTCCTCCCTTACAAATATACACTGGTGAGAGGAGGTGTTAAATTTAAAACAACCCACTAACACAGCAAGTAAATTTTTAAAGATTCATTTATTTAAACAAAATAAGATCAAAATAAGATAAATACGTAATGTCAATGTTGTAGACGGTTAAATATCCTAATATATTATGTATAGTAATTTGTGTGGACTTGTATGGATACGAGAAATGGATACTGGAGAAATTGAAAAAGAATTGTGTGGCCTTACCGCACGCTGTCATAGCTGCTGCAAGACCAAGGTCCTTTGTGTCACCCCTTCTGACTAGACTAAGTATATTCATGTACAAAAAGTTTGGTTCAAAGCTTCTGGTAGATTTAATGTCATCTTTTGGATTTTCTTCCTCTTATCACGAAGCACAATTACTTGAAGTGTCTACCATCATGCAACAACAACTACCTCTGGTGAAACCCAACCGTTAAAAATTTACTTGCTGTGTTGGTGGGTTGTTTTAAATTTAACACCTCCTCTCACCAGTGTATATTTGTAAGGGAGGAATATAGTACCTGCATCATGAGCATTGCACTGTTACATGTAGTAAGTACAGTAAGTATGGTATCATTAACTGAAAATTAAACCGAAAACTGAAAGTTAATTTGTTAATTTTTAGGTCACAAAAGTGAAAAAATAGACCCATTCTTTTAATTTGTTTTGTTTGTTTTTCAGCCCCACATCAAACGGTTGGCCTAAAGAATAGAAGCATTTTGTAGGTAATTAAATGCTCTATACATGTGATTGGGATACTTGTTATCCTAGAATATTTCATTACTGAATTACAGCGATCTAAAGAAAGAGATTTGGCAAAATAACAAAAAAAAAATACGTTTTATTGTAAACTAATTTGAATATTTTCGTATCCATAAGTAGATATAATATGATGGTTTTACCTCACTTTCGGCGTTTTAG